AGCAGTGCTACTGGAACTGCTTAGTGCCCCTCCACTGGGCACCAGGGGGTGCTGGGGCAGGCAAGAACCCAGCGGGCCTGGGGGGCAGGCCTGGGGGGGCCACACGAACAGAGCCCAGGTTTCACTATAAACCTGCAGCTGTCTCACAGGTCTTGCAGTCTGAGAGTGGACCCCCCCCACCCCACCCCACACTAGTCTGCCCCCCGTGCCTCACCCCCCCAATTCGACCTCTAAAACTGTGGACTCAGCATCGCGTGCAGCTATTGATCCGTCTCTTTTTTATGCTAAATGCCCCACCCTCCATGGAAATTCTCCCACAGATGAGGCCCTGGTGGGCTTTAAAGTGGTCGCTCCTTTACTGTAAGGGCTACATGCTAATGCTAGTACTAGCATGTGATGGAGATGGGGCTATCGCTACCCAACTCTGCACAGGGACTATGCATGCCTGAATGTGTGTGTGTGTGTGCGTGTGTGAATGAGCGGTCCCCATAAGGATATGTTTACCCTACATGTGCGAGCGGGTGTGTGTGTGAGTGTGTGTGTGTGTGTGTGTATTAAAAGGCCAGACAGAGCCCCCCCCCCCCTCCCCCCACACACACACACACACAGACACACACATGCGTGAGTGTATTTACAGCTTCGAGGATGTGGGGGGTCTGTTTGGGAACACCTTGTCCTTGGTGTTCTGAGGGTTTCCTGACTGCCACCAATGTGTGTGTTAGGGGGGGTTCTTTTGGTTGTGATGATGGCAGTGTGGGGGCAGCGGTGGTGAGGTGGGGTGGTTTAGTGTAGGAATTAATTGCACCAGAGTTTTCTGATGCGGGAAGAGAAATTAAAACAACGACAAGCGTGAGTCACCAAACCATATGTCCCTGGGCGGCAAAACTGACAGGAACAAAACAGGGTAGGATAGGACAGGATTGGACAGGGCAGGGCAGGATAGGACAGGATTGGACAGGATAGGACAGGATAGGACATGACAGGGCAGGATAGGACAGGATTGGACAGGACAGGGCAGGATAGGACAGGATTGGACAGGGCAGGATAGGACAGGATTGGACAGGGCAGGGCAGGATAGGACAGGATTGGACAGGGCAGGGCAGGATAGGACAGGATTGGACAGGGCAGGGCAGGATAGGACAGGATTGGACAGGATAGGACAGGATTGGACAGGATTGGACAGGATAGGACAGGGCAGGATAGGACAGGATTGGACAGGATAGGACAGGACAGGGCAGGATAGGACAGGAAAAGGTATTTTATGTGCAGTTTATATGTAGTTTCTCATGTGTGTCATAACTGCATCCATGTGGTATTATCTATGCGTGTTTATCTGTGTCTGTCTCAAAGTGTATGTCTGTGTTCATGGTTTCCTGCTTTTTGTGGTGACAGATTTAAAAAATAGCTCCACATAACTACAGAAAAACAGTCATTGTGGGGACATGTGCACCAAACAAATGCCATTTTAAATTTCATCTGCCAAAATGTTGTATTTCTTAGGAATTTTCATCTGTTTTTGAGTTGGGTTCATTTGGGGCAATAAATTGATAGTCAGTGAGACGCCCTGATAAGAGAACTGATGTGTATCCTATGACCATAGGATGTGATTGAATGTGATGACCCCACATGCACACAACACACGCAAACATGCACTGACATACATGCATACACACACACGCATGCATGTACTGACATGCATGAACACAGCACACATGCATACATGCACTGACATGCACATGTACTGATATGTATACACACACACATACTGTACATAGACATGCACCAACATGCACACATACATGTGCAGACATGCACTGACATGCATGTATACACACATACGCATGCACACACTGACATGCATGTATATACACATGCACACACTGACATGCATGTATATACACATACGCATGCACACACTGACATGCATGTATATACACATACGCATGCACACACTGACATGCATGTATACATGCACTGACATGGATGCAAACACAGGTACATACACATGCACACAAAAGTATACAAACATGCATGCAGACATGTATACAAGCTCTTTTCCTCTTACCTGGAACAACTGTAGCCACCGTCTTGGGACCACATCTGACACCACTTCCCCAAACTGGACCAGCAGTACAGCATTGCGGGTGTAACTGAACGACCTTGCACTATAAACAACACCAACCACTTCTACCTCCGAAAACGCACAGAGACACCTTATGAGTTTATATTATTGCTGCTGCCTGTAGACTTTGTTACATATTTATGTTAATTTATATTCTGTTTTATTTTCTGTGGTGAAAGGAGGATGTGCAAAGTAAGAATTTCATTGTACAGCAAAACGGTTTGTTTTCTTTGCATATGACAATAAAAATCTCTCTCCTAACTGCTACAGAAACCATCTGGTTTCTCCCTAAACCTACCAGTTCCTCTCAGAACCACAGTTTGGGTCAAACACATCTTGGTATGTGCTCATGGAATGATCCATGAGCACATACCAGACTGGTTTGAGTCTGGGGAAAAACATTAATGACAGAGCAGATTGTGCTTCTAAGTTACACAGCCATCGCGTTTTTACCTGCTTGCCTAATTCTTGTACGTGGGTTGTTTTTATGAGGCTGGATTCGTTTTTTTTTTCTTTCCGATGTGTAGCTGTGTAAATTTACCACCAGAGCATGTCATCTTCTGGAGCCCCTCCCACACCAAGCACCTATTCGTCCCTGTGAAGTTACATGCTGCTCAACAGCCCCAGACAGTATGAGGTGAAACCAGCACAAAGCCAGCACTAGACACCTGCTTCGAATGCAGTCAAAAAACCCGGCGATAAAGGAGACGTTGCTGTGTTTAATGCCATCTTTCCTCGACTCCATCTTGAGCTTCAAGCTGCCTCATCAAAGGAGCCATTATCTTGAGCGGTGAAATGCAGAATATCTGCTGAAACAGGAGGAAACGGAGACAGCTATACTAACACGGCTGGTTGTAGGCCGCTGTGCAGGCAAGCACGGGAAGGGGGGTAGCGTGTGCGCGGACCTGGGCTACCCCGAAGCTTCTCCGGACACCGCGCCGGCGCGGGGAGGCCTTGGAGGTTGGCTGTTCTTGGCCGAGAACACATCCTGTGTTTAGTGACTCACCGGCTGACTCAGTTGCTCCTGGTCGTTCTCCTTAAGTGGGCTTTGCAGACTCTCTGGTGCCGTGTGGCCAACGCGGGCGAATCGACTTCATGGCCCAGTGCTGGGGTCACGGCCCATCGAAGGCACTTTGGTAGTGACGATATAGAGGATGCTAGCTAGTGTGCCTTGCACACGTTGTGACAATGGGGTGGAGCTGACTGAAAGTGGGTGGAGCTGACAAAGTGGGTGAAGCTGACTGAAAGTGGGTGGAGCTGACTGAAAGTGGGTGGAGCTGACAAAGTGGGTGAAGCTGACTGAAAGTGGGTGGAGCTGACTGAAAGTGGGTGGAGCTAATGCAGGGGAAGGTGAGGCCAATTCTAACACAGCAACAAGCACTGGTCGTTGTACGCAGGGCATGCTCCTATCTATCCAGTAATCTCTCTACCTGTGGTGGACCACAGAGAAACCACGACCCTGATTTCTGTGAGAAGCATGGGTGATATTTCCCCCTCAGGCTGCCCCGCAAAGCCCGCCACACACTCTCCTCATTTCTGCTCTCTGCTGCCCTTCTCTGTACAACTGCAGCCAGCATGACTAGCTAGCAGGGGGATAAAATTGCCACAGTGTCAATCACTTCCTGCTTCAGCAAATAGGGATACAAGAAACTAACCAATAGCAGGCCAGCCAGCACACAGTAAATCCCACCCACTGGTGGCTTTTCTCCCACTTCTCTCCTGCTCCTCCTGCTCCTCCTTCCCATTCAGAACACCGACTCCGTGTTTTCTCCTCCAGCAGATGGCCTGAGCACACAGTGAACTGGATTCTTTACTGAGTGTGTGAATAAGTGCTCTAGTTGGGAATTTGCACATTTTTCCTCATGGAGGTCAAGGATTGTTTTCTTTTCCCCACGCCAGCGAAGTTAATCATTAATGGGGGGGGGGGGGGGGGGGGGCAGGTCAGCTGGTCCAACCTTCAGCTCTAAGCAGACACACTGACGTAGGAGTTGGGAGGGGCCCGGCCGAAATATGAAAGATGTCAGGGGAGCCTGTGATGCCGAGAACCTCGGAGTTATTTTAAGTGGCAATTCATCGGGGGGGGGGGGGGGATCACTGGGGAGGGCAGGACAGACACAATTTCAAATTCCCGGCACCTAGAGCTGTTACAAGCCAGAACGGCTTTTTTATAAAAATAGGCCGACCTTCTGGGATCCTGAGCGGTTCCAGAGGAGAGCAGATATCACGGCACGCCTCTGGTCCTGGACGGTATTCCCTGGAGAAATTAACTTCCCGTCGGAGCCCTCCGTCCGGGAAACCATTCTAGAGTACAGCTGGCTAAAGTCCACATTTCGCTTTGCACGAGAACAGCAGCCGGGCACCAGGATCTAGAATAAGGAGGCTTATACCCCTCAAGTATAGAAACCCTGTCTGTTCACATCTGATCTCCAGTCAATGGGCTTCATTCTCTAAATAGGATAGATATGGCTGACAGGATGAAGAAGTGTGGATGTGAGGGAGAGGGTGGGGGGGCTCATGTTTGAACAAGCACAGGAAACAGGGAGCCACGCCTGGGCCGCATGACAGAGAGGGCGGGGCCTGTTTATGCCAAGGACTGGCCTTGTGGACAACATTCTTGGTCCCAGGAAGGCCTGAGCAGGCTGCCATTTACTGACTGGGCACTCAAATCACAGTGGGGACGGGCAGGGGACAGCTGGGGACAGGCAGGGGACAGGCAGGGGACAGCTGGGGACGGGCAGGGGACAGGCAGGGGCTCTCACATGGGGCATGACAGGCCTGTGTGACTTTGTGGAGCTAAAAGGTCAAATGATTATCTAAATGCACGAGTTTGCACTGAAGCAGAAGAGGAAAAAAAAAATAATCAGACACAAGAAAGGGATGATTTTGTAAAAATAGTGCTCTTTAATATAAATTATTGAAATGTCTGAAACAGTCTATAAATATAAATATGTGCAAAGTTTCCTTTTTGTTTGCTTTTGTTATCTTTTTTGTTGGTTTTTCAGATCTTCAAGCTTGCCCTGCCAGGAATCTGGACTGCCATTACGAGGAACTCCTTATAAAAGACTGGAAAATTAACACATATCATCCGTCATCTGTTTTCATACATGTAAACATTGTCTTAAGAACAAAAAAACAAAATACAAAGTACGGAATCTGTGGCTCTTCCTCTGAGGGGGGGGGGGGGTCTGCTTTCCCCTTTTCGATACATTCATTAGCAAGCACATCAGGCATCCTACTTGTGAAACCGAATGCGGCGCGATTGTGTCACGTGTGGCTAATCTGGCAGATAACGGGTCTGCCGAGGTCACAGAACGAAACCCCTAAATTACTGAATGGGCTGGGGGGGGGAGCTAGTGGGGGGGAGGCTTGACGGCTCTCTGGGGAACAATGGCGTCAGACACCCTCCCCCGCCCCTGTGTTGCCTGACCCCACCCCCGGCCTCTTTTCACAGATCGTTCACTTTTTTGCGCCGTTATAAGACCACTCTCTGTTCTCTGTTCCTCCTTCCGCGGTTCTCCTTACACTCCTTCTGGAGTGCCAGCCCCACCAGCCAAATTCGGGGGAAGGGAGGGGGGGAAGGGGGGGAGGAGGGGGGGGGACAGAGACAAGGGGCTAATGCACAGAAAAAAGGCCCCATTCCAAGTCCTCCTCCTTCCAGTCTCATGGCCAAGACTGGCTGTGGTTCCTCAGGCAAACACCTAGACCCACGGCTCGGGTCTTAAATCCGGGGTGGGGGGGTTCGGCCGTCGGGGGGTGGGCTGGTGGTGGCGAGTTCAGGCTACCCCCTCCCAGCTCCCCTCCAGCCCCATTTCCTGGCCACATATGAGGCAATTGTGGTTGGCAAGCAGCAGTGGAAATGTGTGTGACATCACAGGCTGCTGGCTCCAGGGCTCATCGAGTGCCGAGCGAAGTCAACAGGAGCAAATGAAAGGGAAGAAGCATCCCAACCAGACGAGAACTGAACAGGCAGCCATAGCAGCATTCCGGAAATTTCCCCCAGCAACATCGTCCCGGCGTCTGCTACACGTAGGCCAGGTTGCTGCAGCGATGCGGGGGGGGGGAGACCTTTCACCTGGGTGGGCGGCACCTCGTCCTGCGTCTGGCATCGACTCGGCACGAGTTCTTCGCACCTCCTGCCCACCCGTGGCTAATGGGGGCCAACCGGACGGTTCCTCACCAGCTGAGCCTCCTGTCTAGTCACATCCCACGCTCTGCAAGTCTCCTCCCTCCCTCGAGGGGGTGNTCCCACGCTCTGCAAGTCTCCTCCCTCCCTCGAGGGGGGGGGGGGGGGGGGGGTTAGCATTCAGTCAGCGGAATTTTGTGGTTGGACCTGGGGCCCATGGACCGAGATCTTTAGATGGGAGCATCATAATCCTCCAGGAAGTTCTGCAGAGACTGTGGTAGCTGCTCCCTCTTGCTGGAGACATCCAGGTGCCCATTGACAGTCTTGCGGCACAGGTGCTGCAGAGAGGACATGCTGGTGGTGAGCGGCCGCAGCAGCTCCAGTGGGATCTTCTCCATGCCCGTGTGGATGAAGTAGGTGCTGCGAGGTCCCGCCTCGGAGGTCATGTAGTGGTGCACCAGCTTGAGCACGCAGTCGAAGCTGGGGGCAGGCGATGACCCCATGGGTTCCGTCTGCAGGAAGAAGGAGGTGCCGTCGAATTGGATGCGCAAGTTCTTAGTGCCCGACGCAGTCTTGACGCTTAGCGTGAAGAGGTGTCGGTTGTCCGAACTGTCCCGCACCAGAAAGGTGCCGGCAGGTTCCGCACTGAGGAGCCCGTTGGCGTCCTTGCCATCGACGGCACCCCAGTAGAAGCCGCTCTCCTTCAGTTTGTGCACGGCCTTCAGAACCAGCTGGTACTCGGGCCCCGAGCTGAACATCTTGTATCGGTGGTGCTGCAGCCGAGCGCCGGTGTCAAAGGGGCTGCTGCTCATGGCGGGCTCCAGCTTGCTGTAGGTTACCATGGCGCTACACCCACGCCCTGCCAGCTGTCCCGGCGGATGCCGTGTGGGGCCCCGCGGCGGGTACGGGCAGCCAGGAAGGAGGCGGGCACCCCTGTAGCATCCAGAGCGGGTGGACGTATGGGCTCTGTGGTAGGCAGCTGGAGGGTGGGGAGAGAGCAACAGAGGTCTGAGTCAGAGGGGGAAAAAATCCAAGGGAAACTCGGGCCAGGATGGGTTGGCAAGCTGGACAGCAGCTCGCTTACCGACACCCCTGACAGTAATTCACTCTCCACTGGTCGTGTAAGGTGTCATAAAGAGGGCACAACAAAAACAGTGGCAGCGCGCAGCTTTCGAAAGCCGAGCTGAGGTAGGATGGCGATTCTGAACCCAACGCCGATGATGCAACTGAAAGTTTACTCAGAGTTCAGCCGAATTCCGCTAGGTAGCTGTTCATCTGTCCGGGAATCACCGAACCGGCTCTCCCAGGTCTCCTGCAAGCTAGACGTGTATGTTCGCCAAGTTCATTAAACACCTATGTCACTGTGCAAAGCGCTCCCTGCGGTCATGGTGTACATACTTCACATTCATTTACTCCATTAACTGATTTCTTTACGTGCAATAGGCAGACTCTCCAATCAGCACGGTAAATTATACTCCAGCAAGCCGTCTGCAGCGAATGCTGTAAGGTCTATTCATAGAGACTGAATCCCTTTGGGGGAGAGGCCCCCCATTTTCCCCTCGCCGTGTCCTCACCGCTCGCCCTTTTCATTCCGCTAAGTTGCCTAAGTTGCCGTCTAGCCGGACGGCATTCGGCGACCACAAAGCCGGGCTGCGATTGATCGGCGCGCCGCGATCGCACGGAGAGGAAAGCGCTTCAAAAACTCACAGATCCGAACGCTTCGAAAATGATTTATCGATTAAAATACTCAGTTCTGCATTTCAATCGCTAATCTCCATTCCATCGGCGGTAAAACATGCATAAACCCACGGAATCGCAGACACGGGCATTAACATCGCATTTACTTTACAAAAACATGCAGGGAAAAGTGCAAGTTTGCTGAGCAGAGGAAGAAAATAAAGAACAAATGAGAGGCGCATTTACCTTGACGGTGACTTTTTCCTCCAAAATGGAAGATGTTTTTTCGGTTCCGTTTAGAAGGAAAAGCATTCAGATGGCAAGGCGCCGGGGAGATTGTAACGTCCAGTGTTTCCGCCGGTCACTGATAGCTGAAGCCCGTAAGCGCTGCCTGCCAGTATATAGCGGTGACACCAACTTGCGTGTGAGCCGCACAGCGCTACCGCTTTATAAATAAATGGCTCCACCCCCACATCTTCCAGTAAGGAAAAGAGAAATCTTGTGTTCTCTCTTTCTGGAAAGAGACAGAGAGGCATCTTATAAATATTCTCTCTCTCACTCACCCTCCCTCCCTCTCTCTCTCTCTCTCTCTCTCTCTCTC